GCTACATTACTGATTTATTTGTACACAAATGTTTTGTGACAAGTCATGTGGTGAGAAACATATGATGTTAGAGGATTTATTGTTACCTGCACCTGGTGCAACCTGTTACTGAAGGTCATCTGTAACCTGCACCAGATATTGGTAACGTGCACCAGTGCAGGTTGTAAATAGCAAAATCACATATTGCTTAAGGCAGTTTCTGCTGTACTGTAGTGTTGTGTTGTACTGTATGGTGTTCTGTTTTACTGTAGTGTTGCATAGTGTTGTGTTGTACTGTGTAGTGCTGTACAGTGTTGTGTTGTACTGTATAGAGTTGTATAGTGTTGTGTTGTACTGTGTAGTGTTGTATAGTGTTGTGTTGTATTGTATAGTGTTGTGTTGTACTGGGTAGTGTTGTATAGTGTTCTGTTGTACTGTAGTGTTGTATAGTGTTGTGTTGTACTGTGTAGTGTTGTATAGTGTTCTGTTGTACTGTAGAGTTGTATAGTGTTCTGTTGTACTGTATAGAGTTATGTTGTACTGTAGTGTTGTATAATGTTGTGTTGTACTGTAGTGTTGTATAGTGTTCTGTTGTACTGTGTAGAGTTCTGTTGTACTGTAGTGTTGTATAGTGTTCTGTTGAACTGTAGTGTTGTATAGTGTTCTGTTGTACTGTGTAGTGTTGTATAGTGTTGCGTTGTACTGTGTAGTGTTGTATAGTGTTGGGTTGTACTGTGTAGTGTTGTATAGTGTTGGGTTGTACTGTGTAGTGTTGTACTGAATAGTGTTGTGTTCTACTGTAGTGTTGTACAGTGTTCTGTTGTACTATAGTGTTGTACAGTGTTGTGTTGTACTGTAGTGTTGTGTTGTACTGTAGTGTTGTATAGTGTTGTGTTGTACTGTGTAGTGTTGTGTTGTACTGTGTAGTGTTGTATAGTGTTCTGTTGTACTGTAGTGTTGTATTGTGTTGTACTGTATAGTGTTGTGTTGTACTGTATAGTGTTGTGTTGTACTGTTGTGTTGTACAGTGTTGAATTGTACTGTAGTGTTGTATAGTGTTGTGTTGTACTGTAGTGTTGTATAGTGTTGTGTTGTACTGTATAGTGTTCTGTTGTACTGTGTAGTGCTGTATAGTGTTGTGTTGTACTGTAGTGTTGTGTTGTACTGTATAGTGTTCTGTTGTACTGTGTAGTGTTGTATAGTGTTGTGTTGTACTGTGTAGTGTTGTATAGTGTTGTGTTGTACTGTGTAGTGTTGTATAGTGTTGTATTGTATAGTGTTGTATTGTGTTATTTTGTATTGTGTTGTGTTGTATTTCTCTACTGTGTACTGTACCACAACACAGTTTCTACTACACAGGTGAGACAAAATATGATGAAAACCTTCTAAGCCATACCATCTAATGCTCTTATCAAATGTATGTCACGACACCAGTATCCAAGGACACTGATCATGAACTAAGGTGGTAGGTGACCTACTTCACAGTCCTGGTAGCGTCTGATACAGACAGCAAGAGGAGGTCAGAAGACAAACTCAGGGCGGCAAGAGATATAAAGTGCATAGATACTCAGTGATACACCAGCCTTTATTCTTTAAACTGAGATACAAAGAGTGACACACCTCAACAGCTCAAATATACTCTTAAAAAAAAGTAGGGGAACTTCACTTTTAGTTTCGAATTGAAAAAATTAGGAGATATATCGGAGTCAATCAGTGTTGACATACTAATAATGAATGTTCTGAGAGTGCATCACCACTTGCACTTCTTGCACTTGACCATAGTAATGTTCGTTACACAGTAATCACTCTTGAAAATGATTGGTGTATGACGTGAAATTTGCATGTGTCAAAACTAATGGTCTACAGTGATTTATCGACCTTCTTAACTGTCAAAATCAAGAAAAGAACAACCATGCACATGTATGGGGCTAATGCGTTGTGCAAGTGCATCCCATGCATTGTGTTTAGGGGTGGTGATAAAGAGAAATGGTTGTGCGTTCATAAGATGTCTGTCTTTGAAATGTTTGTTAACTCTTATAAATCCTATCCAAACTGAAAGATCAGGTTCCCCTACTTTCTTTTAAGAGTATACATTTTCCTGAATTTAAACTTTTCTGGCATTTAATTTTACTGACCATTTGGACACATTTCCAAATGAACATTGTGTTTTGTAAGCATGAAATGATACAGCAAGGTCACGATATGTATTGTAATAGACTGGTCAGGTTTAGATAAGTATCATGATATGCATATTTATACAGTGTTTGCCCTTGGCATAAAAATTTAGGAGTCATCGTGACTTCCTGGTTTCATGAGAGGGAGTCATGGACATGTTATGGGGAGTCAACTTCCGTTTTGATCTTTCATCAAAACATCAAATGTGATTGATTAATAATGACCAAAAACTCGGTAAGGCAGGTCAGGTATACAATCAGCACTGAGCAGGCAAAAAAAAATATCATCGCAGTCATCGCACAGAAACCGAAGTTTAGATTGTCTGAACTAATGGCCCAGTAGAGTTGCATCAACAATGACGCAAGCTTTTATATTCACTGCATATTTCAGATAATTTGTGCGTCAAATATGCAGGTTTTCTGCGCATTGGCAAGCACTGTTTAAATCAAATCATGTAGAAACTTCTTGACAATGAATATTTCAGAACCGGTTCAGAAGGACTAACTGACTGAGTTTGGTTTTACGCCGCTTTTAGCAATATTCCAGCACTATCACGGCGGGGGACACCAAAAATGGGCTTCACACATTGTACCCATGTGGGGGTTCAGAAGGACTAACTGACTGAGTTTGGTTTTACGCCGCTTTTAGCAATATTCCAGCACTATCACGGCGGGGGACACCAAAAATGGGCTTCACACATTGTACCCATGTGGGGGTTCAGAAGGACTAACTGACTGAGTTTGGTTTTACGCTGCTTTTAGCAATATTCCAGCACTATCACGGCGGGGGACACCAGAAATGGGCTTCACACATTGTACCCATGTGGGAGTTCAGAAGGAAAGTCCAGACACAGGAACATCTTTGTGGTTGAGATTTTTAGAAGTAAACATGAAACGCTAATCACATATTTCAATATTTGACTGATTAAAATGTTGGATGTTCATTGACAGAGAAGCAATTAATTTATTTCAGGAAGTGTATTGTCTTGTATCAATACTTTTCGATAATCTCCAGGGTATACGTTACGATCACTCTTCACTATACCCTGGATGCATCCACGGCTGGGCCCGATAATTATATTACCTCCCTTTGCTGGCTCCGCATTCTCACAGTAGCCAATCAGCTAAGCCGCCGTTACATCTGAGCTTGCCAATGTCAACAAAGATAGCGATTGCAGTCGTGAGGGTTCGCAGTCACACTCAGATTTTGGGGGAAATAATACAGACAAATTGACAGATCTGAAACTTTTAAAAAAATACATGAAAGAACTCCTTCCACCTCTTTCAGAGTACCTCTGCATCAATTGTGTTGCCAAGGTTAAACGGCTAGATAATTTAAGAAGCGAAAGTGAGTTGTGATTGGTTCGCTCAACTTCCCAGCATAGACACCTGATTGGATAAAATGCCAGCAAAGGGAGGTAATAAAATCATCGGGCAAAGCCCAGGATGCATCCAGGGTATAGTGAAGAGTGATCGTAACGTATACCCTGGAGATTATCGAGGATGGTATCAATTCAGAAATGTGAGTAAATTAAGTTTTACGCCGCATTCAGCAATATTCCAGAAATTATCTGGTAGCCCATAGACAAGTAAGATACCAATATTTGATTGCCTGAAATGAAAACTACATTGTCCCGGGCGTCGGGTGATGGGGTTCTTGAACCCCTGGTGAATTTAGTTTTACACCGCACTCAGCAATATTCCAGCTATATGATGACGGCGGTCTGTAAATAATCGAGTCTGGACCAGACAATCCAGTGATCCACAGCATGAGCATCGATCTATGCAATTGGGAACCAATGACATGTGTCAAGCAGGTCAGCGAGCCTGACCACCTGATCCCGTTAGTCGCCTCTTACGACAAGCATGGGTTACTGAAGACCAATTCTAACCCGGATCTTCATGGGTTGATACAGAAAAGTGCACATATTGTATCGTATTGTCCCATGAACCTCATGTTGCTCTCACCCATGTAACGCTTCAACCCTAATGTTATACATACAGTAGAAGCTGTCTAAACCGGCTCACGTCGGGACTGAAAAAATAATCCGGTTTCGACAGCGTGCTGGATTGTAGAGCTGACACGGTTACCTATGACTAGAACTAAACCAGTTTTATCACTCTCATATACATTGTTGTATAAGGTGGTTCTCTCAATTTCTCTCTCAACTCACTAATTACATGTATAAGGACACCCATACTGAACTAAGATTAAATTATCTTTGTTGGCAACCATGTAGTTTCAACACAGGATTACTGACTCCTTGCCACGCGCCGGATTAGACAGCACTGATTACTGTATAAACACATATTCGGTGATATTACCTGTATATTACCTGTAGAAGCGTAATAAAACCTTCCTCACTCACTAACATACCTGATATAGTGACTAAGGTTCACACACGGCAGTGGGGCTGTAGGGGAGCCTAGTGGTTAAAGTGTTTGCTCCTCACGCAAGACACGGGTTCGATTCCCCACATGGGTACAATGTGTGAAGCCTAAAAGCTGTGTAAAAAACAATCTCACTCACTCCCAAGGCAGTCGTATTCCATCACCAGTGACCACTATATACCTGGAATATTCCTGAGTGTGGCGTTAACAACCGACCAACCATCAGTACGTGACTGAACACCAAGTCAACTCTAAGTGCTGCATTAATGTTTTGCAAGTGATCATTTTTATGTATTTTAGTCGTTAGAGGGATGTATAATGAACGATTTGGAGGTCTTCGGTTTTACCTACTTCACATCACAATGTTGGATACCAAGGGTTATAGTTATTCTAAGGGGAGTGACCGGCTAATCAAGAGGCACCGGCAGCCAAGTGCTTACCAGGCCGTTGTCTTACCTCCAAGCTCTGACCGTCCCAGTTGATCGTCGTCTTTCCCATATTGAACTGCCATGTCCCCAAACAAATAGGGGAGACTTCAAGATCGGTCCCTCCAAGCTTAACTCTTGCCATTGTTGCAGATGTTGGTAATGTCGTGTGTATGGTCTCTGGTGAAATAGCGACAACCTTGCGTGACAGTTGGCGAGCGATCGACGACCTAGTTTAGAGTTACCTCCCGTTGTACTCGATTAATATGGGTCAGCGCGTGACATAACTTCCTTTCCAGCGTGATAACTTCGTAACGCTATCAAAAGTAAAGGCTCCGTCTGGACTGTTGACGTCATTTGCGGTTAAGCATACCGGTCACTGCAAACGTGCTCAGCTACACACGCCATTGCTCCTCGGTGACACTGAATCTTAAGAAGATAGATAGATAGATAGATCGTCTTTATTTCCTCCAAACTTGAAGATACATGTAACAGTGTGTAAATAAATGTCATTTTAATGTGTTAAACTTCATTATTTTAAACTTAGGTATAAAACTTTATCATTATCAAACTGGCCTGTGTTAACACTAACACTTGCACTGTTTAACTAACTCACTGGTAAGCTAGCTTGGGGTCTATTGTTAAAGCTAAGTGATCTGTGTCAGGTTCAATCTCTGCATTGGCCTGTTGTCAAGGTTCCTATTGTTTCATAGGTTTTAGCTTCTCATCATATTTAAAGCCTGCTACTGCCTTTCATTTGTGGCAGTATACATTTTCTCCTTGAGACTTGCAATACCTGCACAGCACCAGCACATTATGGGGTAAGTTAAGTTAGATCTTTTAGTATTACATGAATAGTAGGGCTATTAGGATTTAGTGTATTAGATTACATGTTTTAAGGAATAGTGTTTTATCATGTTTAGTGTATGTAAGGTGTTTGTCTATAAATATATGCATGCTTAGTATTTTAGACAAATATATGATGTATTGTGTACCAGTACACTAGTATACTACCATGATGCTGTAATTTGTACCATGCATATGTAGTATGCATAAGTATATGTATTAGCTATTTCATGATTGGCATGATACAGTAATGTGTATCATGCATGTTTATTATACGGTTTAGTTTCTATATGCATATTTATGTATGTATTAGGGTAAATAACTATTTATCTGTTCGCTAATGCCATTTATGATGTATATCTGTATATACTAGCAATATACTTAGGTAATATTTTATTTATTTAGGTTCACTAAGAATCAGATGTTTTAGTACCTGTTGGACTATTCTGCCTGCGTCCCTGAGACGAGGTGAGGTATTGTTTTCAGAATGTGATTGTAAATATTAGTAATTATAATTGTTATATATGTGAGTAATAATCAGAGTACATGTCTTTACTTAAATCTGGATGATTGACAGTTATCAGATGTATTAATAGTATAGTTGTAACCATATTGAATACATAACATGATACGTATTTTATGACAGGAGACATGTATTAATTGATGGATATTTTATTATTCAGGGCGTTTTGTTATAGTTCTGCCAACTGGGGATCACCTTATCCCACGCACCAGCGCCGAATAAATCCCTGAAACCCCACACAAGTGTTCGTCATCACTGAACCTACATACAGTGTACGTGTACGAATACCACTGTTACAATGGCATCTTTAATAGTTCGTCGATTTAATGATCTAAAGTCCACACACATCCTTAAAGATCCATTTTTCTTGCGAACAAGAACAACATTCGAGGCCCAGGGACTGTAAGAGCGTCTTATAATACCACAAGCTAAGAGTTGATGTAAATGGTCTTTCACTTCCTGGAACATAGATGGTGGTATGCGCCGGTGTCGCTCTTTAAATGGTGTGGTGTCTGTCAACTCTATTCTGTGTTTCACTTCGGTGTAGTGGCCAATGTCCAAGTCTCCGGTGGAAAATACATCACTGTACTGTAAGAGTAGTTCTTCACCCCTCTTCTTTTGTTCCTCGGTGACTTTGGGAGATATCTTTACCTTGTCCAGTGGATGTTGTTTCTCTTCAGCAGCTACTTGCTCCAAGTCAATAGGGACTATCTTCTCTATCTGGACAGGCTGTATCTCACAAATGATGGCCCTAGGGGAGACAACCATAGTCTGATTTGTGAGATTGGACACTTGCACAGGAACTTCTATCATCCTCTTGTGTTGGTAGCGGAATAAAGCAGGGCCTATCTCCAGTCCAGGTGGTATAGCAGACTTCTTACTTGGTTGGAGCATGACACATGTATCTCTATAGGGTAGCTGCTTGTATAGAGAGCACTTGACAGTCACAGTCCTGTTAGGTGGCACAACTAGCTTCGATGTTTCACAGCTCCTGATAAGTCCAAGTTTCCCTTCATTCCGTGAGAGTTCCTTATCTTGCAGCACAATGCTCCTGAAAGAAAGATACCAGGGTGTATGTATCTTGCTAACCTGGAGAAAGTTTGGTCCAGCTGCCTCCCTACAGCACTCAAGCACAGGTATAAGATAGTTTGTTCCCAGCAAAATAGGTACACTTTGGTTATACTGACTATCTGGGACAACCAAGAACAAACAAGTGGTCGCATGACCAGGTGACAAACCACAAGTTTCCACAGAAACTTCAACATAACCCTGATATTTCAAGCTCTCACCATCAGCACACTCAATATGGATAAAATCAGTGAGAGGCTTAATCTCTAGTGATGACAAACACTCTTTGTAGAAGCTCTCTGGGATGGTTGAAACGGAAGAACCTGTATCTAAAAGTGCTTTTTGTGAAACACCGTTGATGAACACAGTAGTCTCGGTTGCTGTCCCTATCAAACCAGCCGGTATGGTAGGACGAACTTCAGTGGGGCTTTGTCTGAAGGATCCTAACGTCTGCCCCTTGACATTGGTCCTCTCCCATTTAAATGACCTCGCCTCAAATGATCCACTCTGACCCGACATCCTAGTTGAATGTGACCGTATTGCCCACACCGATAACACTGAACTCCAGATTCCAATGCCGCATGCTCATAGTTCTGTGACGAGTTCCCATGCTGAAGTTCCTGTGGGTGTGGTTGTGATTGGGGCATCTGTTGGGGTGGCATCTGGTTCATCCGTTGCTCCATGCGATCAATCTTTGCTGATAGCTTGTTGATGACTCCCAAAAGATTAGAAACATCAGATGCAGGCTGAGATGGAGCAGACATCTTGGCTGGGACGGGTTTCTTCTGCAACTCTAGATTCCTCTGTTCATGGTCATACTCCAGTCTTCGTATGGCAACTCGCAGCTGATCAAAGTCCTGTATGGCATCGAACTTGTGACCTGACGAGTCCTTAAGCTCTTGGCGTAATCCTGACCAAAACACAGTCCGAAGAACTGAAGTAGCCCTATCTTGCTGAATCTGACCCTGCATTACAAGTCTATCAAGCATATCCTCAAGGCGACAACCCCATGTCGTGGCATCCTCCTGAATTCCTTGACGAGCACTATAGAACTGAGCCATGAGGGCTTCTCCTTGCTCAGTGATTGAAGAACTATACACGCTCTTGAGTTTAGCTAATATAGTAGTGAGTGAAGCAGAGTGACCTAATCGCATAACAATGCGAGCTGCATCGCCTCTCAAGGCTTTCCCAAGTGCTTGCTTTATCTCTTCTTCAGAATGTGAATGAGAATCAATTAAACCTTCGATCTCATAACACCAAACATCAAAAGGTGATTCGGATTTGGCATTAGGATCACCAGAAAAAGAAGAAAACCTTGGAGGTTGTTTCAGATTAACTGAACTAAACAGCCCTTGGGCTGGCGGACCTGCTACTTGACCGGAATCATTAGATTCATTGGATTGAGGGTTGGCCGCTGCTCCCTGAGATTCCTGAATGGAAACCATAGCTGTTACCCATTCACGTAACTCATCTTCAGTTTTACACTTAGGTTTAACACCTAACTTTTCAAAACTTGCAAGAAAAACGGCCAACTCTTCAGCAGAAAGTTTAGACATGACTAAGTGTGGTATGAAGCAAACATATGCACGATAATATTTACCAAGTGCAGATGCTGCGCTCCTAAGTCATAATTCTTGAAAATGGGAGATAGGTTGCATAAATGGGAGATGGGCTGCATGTATGCAGGTTACTAAACTTGAAATATAGTTTAGGTTTACATATTAAATGTTGAATGTTTAAGTTACATTTAATTTATGTTTAATGGATAGATATTAGAAACTATCTTGGTGCAATAATAAATGAGTTAGTAACCTAATACCCAAACTTACCAGGATACCTCGACCAAAATGACAAATAATTTCAACCAATGACACACAAGACCAAAGGCAGATAGGACAGGAATGCTAAGTGGTGCAGTGTTAACCCAATACTTACCTGCCTGATTTAAACTAAAGTAGGGCTTAACTAAACGTACTAACTAATTAGCTAAACAACTTATGCATCTGATTTATGGATTAATTAAGACACTAAGTGTAACTCGCCAATATACTCTTTTACGGTATATGCCAAGTAAAATAACTAAACCGTAGGCACTTAACTAACTAAATAGTTAAACACTCAAGATCTAATTCAGTAACTAACTTAACTAAACAGTTTACAGATCTAAACTAACTTAACTAAACAGTTTACAGATCTAAACTAACTTAACTAAACAGTTTGCAGGTCTAAACTAACTTGCTAAACAGTTTGCAGGTCTAAACTAACTTGCTAAACAGTTTGCAGGTCTAAACTAACTTGCTAGCTAGCAAACTAAACTAACTAAGCTCAGCTATCACACATAACAGGATGTAACATATCGAGTTGCAAACTGGCACAGTCTTCCATACTGATGACACAGTTATGTAGCACACATACAAATCTGTGACACAGCACAGCTAATATCAGAAATGGTACCATAATATAGTCCATGGATTCACACATGATGAGATGTCGAATTTATCAGCTGGCAGGGGGGATCCAACAGTCTGTATGCATGGTTATCACATGGTCATATGAGTCACATAGATACAAAGTGTCACTTTTCACTTGAGGCAATTATCAATGGGGTACTATAGGCTAGCACAATTACCTATAGCATGATGAGACGATCACACACACTTATGGGGTTCCAACGTAGGGTGATGTTACTCCCGGGATGTCCTCATACCAGTCCGAAATCCAATCCCACCAGGGATGCCATTGTAACAGAGGTATTCGTACACGTACACTGTATGTAGATTCAATGATGACGAACACTTGTGTGTGGTTTCAGGGATTTATTCGGC